ATCTCTGGCATGACATGTCATCCCTGGCATGACAAGAGGTCATCCCTGGTATGACGCAAAGCGAAACGCCGATCCAGAGCCAGCACCTGCACCTGCACCTGCATCAGCACGGCAGCAGCACCTGCAAAGCCAAAACGCTGATCCAGAACCACACCATTGAGAAGTTTGAGCCCCTAAAACTTGGGGGCAAGGTGTTTGGCTTTCTTGGGGATGTAAGCAGCTGCAACGTCCTGGTCAACTTTCGTGCCATGTCCAACGAGGTAGAGCCGTGGCTGCAATTCCAGTGCAACCAAATGCATTGGGCTTAATCTGAGATGGGTGAAGTGGTCCTGTGGCCAAACACAAAAATGCTGGAGACTCTTGTTGAGTGGAATCAATTTTTCTTTATAGATATTTTGTAAAGATGAGTTTATCAAACATCTAGCATGTGGTCTTCTGTTGTGGTGGATTATCTTGTTTTTGACATTGGCCTGCAAATGTCGGAAATGGATCTTTCGCAGAGCCGGCATGGGGGGTCTGGGTCCTTCAACGAGATCCATGCCGAAAGACTTATATAACCGCAGATCAGACGACGAGACGAGTCGAGTCGAGTCTAAGCGTTCGGGTTCCTCCAGTGAGACGGGTTATGTGTTGGAACTTCTCAAGGTGAGTTGCAAACCCACACACCAACCGACAAAACAACACGTTTGTGAGGTTCGTTACGGAGATCTCCTTCTCTTGTTCCAATGAACGAATCGGGCATTCACAACAAGAACTATGTTCGATGAACTGTTTAACCTTGGAAGGTGACAGGTTTTCCTGGCGATCCTCCATCCACTCGTTCCAGCACCCAAAAACGGGCCGCGGACGACGCGGACGACGCGGACGACGACGCAACCCCGGTGCCGTGGCATCTGGAACCCCGGTGCCTTGGCGTTCGGAGCTCCGGTGAGGTGGCGAAGTTTCTCCTGATCGCTGCAGCTTTCAGATGTATCAAGCCCGGGAACTCGTCTGGTTCACGCGGAGGGGCACACCGGCGCACGTCTGGTGCGGAAGAGGTTGTTTTGCCATCGATTTCTCCAGCCTTTGAGACCGGAGGTCTCCCCTCTTGGTCTCTTCCAACCACGATAGGTTAAGCCGCGTTCCAAGGCCAGCAGCCTGTGTGGCCGCTTTCTTGAGCATCAAGAGCCCCTTTCAGCAGTCGGTGAGCGAACAAGACAAAAACAAGGTGCACGCCTACTTCGTGCGCAGCGCTCGGCCACGGTCGGGATTGGCCTTTGGTGTGTGTGGTTGGCTGTTGGAAGAAGGAGATGTCGGGGGTCTCGTGTTGTTTGGAAGATCACGATCACGTCTAACGTCGATTTGATCGTGATCTAACGTCTGGTTGAGATATTCCCAGTGATGTCGGATGCTGACCCCTTTTTTTGTGTGATGAGAAATTTATATGCAACTTGCGTATGGAGTTGCTGAGTTAGGAGCACAGATCGGTGTCTTACGACCTTTTTCATCCTTTTTCCTTTTTTTTGTCCTTCACACCTAACGGGTGCAAGGATTCATCACAACTATAGAGAACCCATATATAGTCATATAAGGCTCAATCAGTGGACATGATAAACTTGTAGCTCAGGAGAGCTGCAGGTGATGTGCACATGAAAAGAATATCGGTTCATCCCAAGCATCCTGTGTTTCCACCCCATTAGAGATATTATGATATTAGAGGATGCATGGGATTTGTATACCAGGACCCTCTAAGGGGTGCTCAATGGAAGCCTATAGCCTATAGTCTAGTTTTGTTTCACTTCACTTGTTGGTGTCGCAGGTCACCGGGAAGGACTACTTCAACAAGGGCTTCGCTTCAGACCACTTGACCATGATTCAGGCGGCAGACGGCGGGTGTTGACCGCGTCCACCACCGTGGCGATAGTCAACGCTCCGAAAGACGCTCCGACCTTCGCCCGAAATGACACCGGCAAGGGGGAGTCCAAGGATCAAAGGACATTGGACTTAGTTCAACCTGTGCTACGCTTCTGAGTTCCCCAGTGCCAAGGCCATGGATTTGCGACGGGAGCATCCCAGATCGCTTGTGATGTGTTTGTTTTTTTTTCCCAAGTTCCCAAGGCCCGGTGGATAAAATCCGCTCGCGGCAGACTTAAACAGATGGTTTGTTTTTCATTGCATTCATTTTGCTACGAGATTGATCCAGATTGTACGAGCATTTCTTGATGTGTTTTGTGATATAGTTAGTCCATACTTGAAAACTATTCAAGTATCCCATTCAGTGATATTGCGCACTGTTTGGTGATCCAAAGAGCCAGACAAGTCCTGCAAAACAAATTCCCATTCAACTGTAGGAATCTCAACTTGGGATGGCCAAGGGGTGCAGATGTTTTGGTCAACTGCAGGTGGCGTGTCCATGTCCCCTTGGCCAACTGTTCGTCTCAGCCACGCGAACCGACCGCGCGGACCCGATCCGATCCTTGCGGGCTCTCCGACGCGGGAGGCCTACGTCGAGTGGCGACGGGAGGCCTTGCGCGGCCGGGGCGACGACTTCTGCGACGAGCAGGCCCAGGGGTGGTTGGGCAGAGGGTCCAAGTTCAACATCGGATTGACCTTGTAGCCATAAAAGACGGATAGTAGCTAAGACTCATTTTGGCCTTTATGGGTTTTCGGAATTGTTGAGCTACAACATGCTACAACCCCCCCCTTTTCCCCTTCCAGTAGACATCACCTGCTGCACCCTATGAACACCTTTTGTTGTCCAAACTTGAAAAGGTATACCATTGGCATGTTGGACAGCAATTGTTGTCCGAAGGATTTCTGGACGTGTTTTACCGTAGGCTTGAAATTAGGACCTTTAGGGCACACATCCAAAGCTCTATATAGATCTATATAGTTATCTTATGTTATCTTGATATAGATATTGCTAGGTGTTCATGGGGTGCAGCAGGTTTCAGAGAATCCCAAGATCTCTCCAATGTAAACTCTTTAGAATCACATGAAAATGCTTCTATAGCTATCCATCCCGCAATCAGGTGCCACCAACGACTGCAGGCATCACAACGGATGCATCGCTCAGCGTTTCTTCGATTGCGAGGCTCAACGGAGTCTATGGGTCGTGGAAGGTGATGCCAAATCAGGATGCATCGCATTCCAAACAGTGTCATATTCAACTTCAATCAACTTCACACATTATGGGAAGTGGTACCCTATTTTGGGGTGGCTCCGATTGATGCACATGGGACGCGACGGTGTTAATAACATGTGGAACAAGCACAATGAAAGTTCCAAGTTCTTTTCTTTGAGCAAAGCCTTGCAATGGCCTGAGAAGCTGCTAAGCAGCCATTGGGCTACCTGACATTCAGTGTGCCTGGCTCGTTTATTTCTGAGTGAAGGTCAGTTCAACTTTAACATGAACCTCATTCCATCAATGACTTTAGAATAAATGACAGATAATCTGACCCACTGTTTTTTTGGCAACGGCCATGTTGCGTTGTATGATGTTGATGGTATACATCCAGCCTATAGGCCTATAGAGTGAGACCTATCGCTCAGATCAGAACAGCTTCGCACTGATGACTGCTGGTCCTGCGCAGACAATTTGGATCAGTTTGGCTTTGTGACTCAGCAGCTCAAGGCCATGTCAATGTGTTCAGTGGAGGGAAGCGGCGCCAGCTCGCCGCGCATATCACCCAGAAGTGTGGTGGGGACCTATGATTTGAATGGCATCGCTGTGGAGTGGGACAATGATGCCGAGGTTCGAAGCAGGCTCCGGGACGGCTTCAACATCTGTTTGAGAGTCAATTCAGCAGGTGAACCTGAGAACGGGTCCGTTGAGGCCACAGTTGCAAACCTGCGACTGAACGCACCCGTGCTCAAGCCCCTGATCACTCGCATGGAAACGCATGACCTTCGACTTCCTAGCATAGAGAAGCTCATCGCAGCGGTGGAGGATCTCTACCAGGTAGCGAAGGTTCCTCGAACAGTCCAACAGGCCTACCAGGAGGCATGGGCCATCCGAAGAATGATCGGAAAATTGAAGCGCTTCACCTACAGGGATGGACCTCCTCAGGACAGGGCTTGCCCATGCATGCAACCAAATCATGGGTAGGGCATCCATGCTTTCAATGCACAGTAGCAGAATTTTATATTGAACTCAAGCTAAATGGGATCAACATGGCGTTTGAACATGCAGTTCAACCAATGTGTGATCACACTTGGGAATCACAAAACCCTGTTTTACCGTTCCTTCCCCACTGTCCTCTCACTGGGTTTCTCGATCCAGGATGCCATCATCAGCGACCTCGTCGAATGCATGGGCTTCGATGTGCAGGCGGCCAGGGTACCAGGGCCAAGGGTTGGGCTATATAGCCTTTTTTAATCAAAGGAAAAGCTTGGATTGAAGAATTATATTCAGGCACCCCTTTGGATCCATTCATGTGGGCCTCAACCAAAACAATGTGTTTCATGCAGATCTTTTCTACCCATCAGGAAGTTGCTCAAAGGTATACCGACATGCCTAACACATCCTCGAACCATCACTCGATCAATGAATTTGGCTGTGACTGTTTATACACGGTTGATCGAGATGCATCTTATTCACACCACACGCTCATTGTTTTCATGCACCATCGTGTCGAACATGCTGTATATCAACCAATCACATTCTTTCCCCCTTTCGTGAGGACTGGAAGCCAACAACAGCACCTTATGTGCCTGATGAGGAGGACGCTCAGGTGCCACCTATTTCTGAACCAGACTCTCAGGTGCCTCCTATTGATGGCCCTGAAGGACAAGAGCAAATTCTTAGCCAAGTGTTGGAATTTGCAGAGCCTCAAGACTTGGCTATCCAGTTTGAAAGTCAAGTGGAGGGGATGCTGGAAAGCTTGGAGCCCCAACTTCCTTCGATTCCTTTGCCACGTCCACCCCAACCTCCAACTCCAAGCCCAAAAAAGGACTGGGGCCGTGGCTGAGGAGGCTTCAGAGCAACCTGTGCCAGAGCCAGCGGGTGAGACGGTTGGAAAAGACTCCATCAAAGGTCACCTGGGGCCATTGCCTACTCCATGCCGCAGCAACTCCACCACAGACATAGGAACTCTGGCGGCGCCACCATCAACTTCTTTCCCCAAAGCATCTGTCGCTGACAACTCTGGAGTCGTGAAGGACTGCAAGGGACCCTCATACGACTCATTTGAGACAACCAACCTATATATCTCTGTCAATTCTAGGCCTTTCATTAATTCCTATAAAATCAATGAGTCACGTGCAATTAATAGCTTACATGCGTCGGTGTGCCTCTTATAGGATCTCATCTTGGACATCTCTTCGGGCGAGGAGGACAACCCAGTGGAGAAGGTCAAGGTTGGGCTCGACATCAATGTTGTCATGTCAGCGCTGAAGAAGTACATGTCGTCTTTTGGATTTGCATAGATCGGCTGTGACGTGCGTTACTTCGATCCATTTTAGGGTTCATGGACAAGCCTTTTTATGATAGAAATTGCTTGACCTGCAAATCACTCTTGGCGTTTTCCACGCCAATGTACGGGACACTGATATATACAAGGCCATGCCATATAGGATTGAATGCCACAGCTTGGCTAAGGCAGGAAGCCCCTGATCAGCACCTGGTCGCAACTGTGAAGAAGAACTGTTCCTTGGACCTTCTTTATGTGGACTTCATTTGTTGGAGTGCTTGACTATAGCCCTTATAGTGGGACTAGTGCTTGCATCAATCGGAGTATGAAGATTGCCCCCAGAAGAAAAGCATGTGAGGGCAACATGAAGTTGCAGTCTTCCGTTTTACTCTAGCCAATGCTCATGTCGTTGTAGAAGTCTGCCAGGCTTGGCCTCAACATCAGAAAGTACAAGTTCGGAAAAGCAGGTGATTACGCTTCTCTCAGACTCTCAAATTCCTGCAGCTTCCGCAGTAGATGATACTCAGCTGCCTTGCTCTCCTACTGAGCTGCTACGCACAGATGTGGCCATATCAACCTTGAACGCTTTAGACCAGCATGACAAGAGATTGGAAGAACAGGCACAGGGTGATGATAACTCCTGCATTTTTTGAAACTTGTAATATAGCACTAGTTGACATCAATTTAAGTTTATAGAAACAGCCGCCTTTGCATTCTGCGACTGTTGCATCGATCCTGCAGGTGCGAACCACTGGCAATGATGGGGTCACCATCCCTGATCACGAAGTGGTCACACGGCGGGCTCAATTCCGTTGCAAGAAAGTCAATGCGGAAGCGAAAGAAAAGAAGAAGGCAGCCAAGAAGATCGAAGTGGAACAGAAAAAAAGCTGCGAAGGAATTGAAGAAAGCTGCAAAAGAAGATGCAAAAAAAAAAGAAAGGCATGAACGCAGCTGAGAAGCTTGATGGTCGAACGAAGAGAGGCCGAAAGGCCAAAGCTGGTTCACAAGGTTCCCGGGTTGATGAAGACCACAAGGAGCATGAAGTGGCTGCAGCAGAGGGATCCCAACCTTTGTCCAAGGTTGCTCCGCCAGGTCGGTGCAAAGGGTTGAAACGGTTGAGAAAAAATGGAGGCTGGAGTTGAAGCAAGGGAAGCACAGGTCAAGGAGAAGAAGAAAAGGGGCATGCGAAAAGGGAAAAAGGCACAGCTGAAGATGGACCCTGAAGAGGAGAAGTCAAAGACTAAGACAACAGGGGAGGAGGTGGACGAGGAGAAGAACGAGACAAAAGAGATCGAGAAGACAGAGAAGGTGGAGAAAGAGTCATCAAAGACGGCCAAGGGCAAGAAGAATGAAAAGAAGAAAGGGAAGAATCAGGAGAAAGCCAAGAAGGACAATGGCAAAAAGAGTGCCAAGAAGACAAAGCAAGTCAGCAAGGCAGAAGAAGAAGACCAAGCAGCGAATGGATTGTCAAAGCCAAGCCAAAAGCGTACTGCTGCGAAGTCACGACCAGAGCCCAAGAGAAAATCCAGTAGGGTCAGTAGGGTCGATGAAGCAGCGCCAGTGGATGAGCACTGCAAGAGACAAATCAAAGACATTCTCACCGAGTGCAAGCGCTCTCATTGCACACACCCATCTTGGGAGCGGCATGAAAAGAAGGCCGTGGAGCTGGTCCCGTACTGGACAAGGAAAGCCTGTGGCATCAAGGTGGATCGCAATCTCCTCTCCGGTGACAAGGCCAAGGGAAAGGGTCGAGCACAAATCGAGTACTTCAGTGGCGCGACTCCATGCCCCTACACGAACATCCATCTTTGCCAGCTGTGGGTCTCCAGATCGCAAATGGTTTTGGGTCAGGCAATGTTGGCACAAAGCCCCCCTATTCATATGGCATTCCTTGAGGGTTTCCGCTTTGATCCCCCCCTCCAGTGCAAATGGAATACCACCGCCCTCTCCAAGCGCCAAGGTGAGACAGTACGAGAAGTTGGCCAAGCCTGATCCATTGAGCGATGACATCGTGTCCTTCAGCAAGATCCTCAAAGCCTCGCATAACGCAGCCGTTAGTGAGTGGGAGGGTTTGATGGCCGAGTGTCAGGAAGGCTGAGTCCAAAGGCTGGTTTGTCTACTCATGCCATGCTTCCATGTAAAGCAAGAATCA